TGTAGCGTTATTGTTTTAGTTCTTTTGCATATTCAATAGCTCTCATTGACATGGTTGAGCCAAATTGTTTTTAAGTTTCAAAATTTGTGAAGACCTCTTCAATGTTGATCTTTGGTTGTTGTTTTATTACTGAATAGAAGTGTGTAGTGACATAAATACATGTATAAGAGTTAGTTACATGAAGAACAAAAATACAAAGCATTAGAAAACTCTAGGTCATGACAGAATGGAACTCAGGTATCAAAGTTACATACAACAGATTGAAACTTGAAGTATGATCAAACTGAAAGTTAGTTTTCTCAATACAATAAATCAAGTAAGAATCCAGTTGAATCTAAATTACATGAATATATATACAAATATCAAATTCATACTTGTATACTCTACAAATGACAGCTAAACATTTCCTTCCCTGTTTTTGAGCGGAAATCAACTGAAGAAACAAATGAAACTGTATGCGCTCTCTCTTTCCTGCTCTTCAGCTTGAACTGCAGATAACTTCTAATACATTTAATTCTTTGCAAGATTTTCTTCACTTTCATTCTCCAGATGGTCCTCCCTGTACCCTGTAGGGTTTCAAGATTTGAAAGGAGCAGAGCAAGCTTGTGTCAACGCTCATCAGAGCTCCAGCATTGTTGAATTCTCCACAGTAGTTGGGAGCTGAGAATATTGTCACCAGTTGCCTATCCGCGAAAAACTCATATCCATCTTCCACTACCTGTTCCAAACAGAAATTTACAGATTTCATGTCAGTAAACGATCTAATCTTTTTCTAATCAAAATGAAGATAAATACTAGAAAGGACTCATATGTGCATGTTCATATGTATGTGTGGGTATGTATACACATACGTAAGTCTGTCCCTTAAATTGATGTGTATTTGCAAAACTACCCGCAACTCATCAATTTTGACATTAACAATATCCCAATTCAACAAATCATAAACTTTGTTGGATACAGTGAATAAAATGTTGAGTACTTTGTTGATATTTTTACACTGCAGTGACAAATTAGACTATCAAAGTTGATGTGTTGTTTTCGGGGTATTTTTTTTCCGAAGCTGATGATATGGGTAGTTTGCAAATACTGAGATTGTGAGGTTAGTTTTGCAAGTACACATGATTTGAAGTATGTATATGCCAAAAACACATATTATGTATGCATGCCTGTGTGCATGTATGTTGATCAAATTAGCAAATAGTCAGACTTTAAGGGTAAATCCACGCACTTGATGTGCACGACAAATAAGATCAAGATCCTGCTCCTTCAAGAACTCGGTCACTCTATCTGCGCCAAACGTATACGAAACCCCCCGATCATTCTCCCCCCACCCCGCAATCTCTCTATCCGGATCTGACCACAGCAAATCACACAAAAGCCCCTGGTCAGGCACATCAACCGGCCTATGTATTGCCCGTATCTGATCCATATCCTTCAACTCTGGTGACAAACCTCCATGCATGCAAAATATCTTGTCATCAATAATTGCCGCCACGGGAAGGCAATTGAAGCAGTCAGTGAAGAGCTTCCAGAGTCTGACACTGAACCGGCGCTTGCACTCATCGTAGAAGCCGTAGATGCGGTTTATTGAGGCGCACTCATGGTTCCCGCGGAGGAGGAAGAAGTTGTCCGGGAATTTTATTTTGTAGGCTAGGAGAAGGGTGATTGTTTCAATGCTTTGTTTGCCACGGTCAACGTAGTCGCCAAGGAAGAGGTAATTGGAGGTTGGAGGGAAGCCACCGTATTCGAAGAGGCGGAGGAGGTCGGAGTATTGGCCGTGGATGTCGCCTGAAAAGTTGAAGGGATGCATGTTTTTGTCAGGTAATGTAAGGTGCATGTAACAGCAACAACAAAACTTTTATCCTGAATTTTTGGGATTGGCTATATTAATCTAATTTCAAAACTTTTATCCTGAATTTTTGGGATCGGCTATATTAATCTAATTTTTTATTCAGTTCTCTTATAATCATGTCATATCTTTCTTAATTGTTCACAATCAAGTTCTATTAGGTCTATCCCTTGTCTTTGTTGTTCTGTTAGTTATAATAGCTATAATCACCGCAACATGTTTGAGAACAACAAATTGATATTACGATTAGATGACAAATTATTCAGGGTAAGCTTCAGAGAAAGTTATGTGATAATCACTGGGATTTTATTTATTTATTTATTTTTGGACATTTTTCTCTCAATAGGTTTAGTAGTCACTTCTAACTTAATCTTTCCTCTCTTCTTCCCCAAGTTATAAACATCAGTATTTTAGTGTTCTTACCTGCATTTTAAATGCTACCGGGAGGATTTTCAAATAAATTTGATTACATAATTTGGTTATTGCATTGTCCCTTTCCAAAGATTTATATAGCTAACCGAGAAAAACAAAGATAAGAACTTTAACTTATTCCAAAATTTTAGGGTCAACTACATAAATTCCATTTCCATTCAGTTTTATTAAAAATATTTCCGTGTTAACTATTATCACATCATTTTTAATCACTCAACAAGTTCCTATAGATTGAAAAGTATGAAAATTACCGCAAACATTGACGGGAGCTTCTAATTCCAAGAGATTGGGCTGCCCGAGGAAGACCTCCTTCGACAAAACACACACGTGGCGAATCTCGGCCTCGCTGAGCTGGACTTTCTTGCCACCATGGCCCTTGCTCTTCTTTCCCTCTAACAATCTCTCTATCAATTCATCAATGGCACCTCCTCCTTCCATTAGACGAACAAACCCCTCTCTCTAGAGGATGTCAAAAATGAAAACACAAGAAAGAGAGAAAAGAGAGGTAACTCTCTTTTGTTTCCCTAATAATAGTTTGACAAATAATAGCATGCACGTTGGTGCAAGCAAAATCTAGGTGGGACCCATGAGAGCCAATGACAGCACACACGTTTTGTGGATGGCCAGTTTTTGGGGAGTTTCTTCCAATTTCAGTTATTTTGGTTGGTAGCACTACATGTTTTGGGTCAATTAAATGTTATTTTGTTTGGATTTGAATCCTCTCAACTAGAAGAAACTAGTCAGGAAAACACTACCCTCATCACAATTATTGAATTATGTAGTTAATGTTTATGATTTGTCCTTAAATATAAATTAGAAAATAAGTATAATTCATGGGGGTATAAATCAAAATTGCTAATTAGACAAATCAATGATTTATGTGATAGAAGGTCATGGTCACTTCATTACTTTTTATATGGAGGATCCAAATTAGAGAAAAATAGGTCACATATCAAGATTTCTTTAGTAATCAATTTCCTCAATCAAAATTTTGTGTTTGTCTTAGTGAAGATCTCCAGAGGAAAATAAAAGAGTTTGATAGCTGAACTAAAATTCCTCTCATCTCTCGCGCATTTAACTTTTCATTCAACCAAACAAAAAAATTAAAGATTTTGAAAAAAATTGGATACTGAAGAATCCTGAAATTGTAAGAACTAAACCCAAACTTTGAAGCCAAAAAACCCTGTAGACCACAACAACCAACTTCTTCTAAAATTTGTTAGATATTAGTATTTGTTCACCACTACTGTATAATAATGTGTTGGATAGCAGGTTCCTAATCTGTTTTGGTAACAGGTTATTAGGATTCATAATCTGTTTTGATAATAGGTTATTGGGATTCCTAATTTGTTTTGGTAACAGATTATTAGGATTCCTAATTTGTTTTGATTTTGGTTTTAGAATTCCTAGTATGTTTTTGGTTTTAGGATTTCTATATATATGAAACGATTGGAAGAGAGAATTGAGAAGAAAATTGGGGATATTTGGAGCACAGAAAAGATGTATTTTCTGAGCTATTGGTTAGGGTTTTGTTTGGAGAGAATTAGAGATTTGTTGGTGAGATTAATTGGTGAGTTTGAGAGATTTATAATCTCAGTTTGTACTATTCTTCTCTATTAGTGAAAAACCCTATCCTCTTCTTGCCCCGTGGACGGATGCAACTTGCCGAACCACGTTAAAATTGGTTGTTTGTGTTTGTGGCATTGATTTGGTTCGTTTGGCATTCTCTCAATGTTCGTTTGATTTGATTTCTTGTAGCACGTTGGTTTGGTTGTTTGGCTTCCGCAGTGCTTAACAAGTGGTATCAGAGCTCGGGCTACGCTTAGGCTATTTGGAGTAGCAGGTCGTTTTGGAGGGTTGCCTAAGGCTTCGTTTGGTGATAAAGGTGGAATCTTTTTGGTAAAGACTCTATCTTTTTTAGTTTTGGATCTATTCTTTATTTATTCCGTATTTGTTTTGATGCTTTGAGAAAGATGGTCAGGAAAGAAGGAGTTCTGGAGGGTACTTCTGGTGTGAAGACCGTCCAAAGTTTGAGTATCCACTCTATGAAGATAGATGTGAAGAAGTTTAATAGCACAAACAATTTTGGTCTTTGAAGATGTGAAGTCTTGGATGCGCCCAATGCGCAAAATTTGAAAGATACTTTGGAGTTGGATGGTAAACTGGATGACATTGAGGAGAATGTTTAGAAAAAGATGAATGGAACAACGTGTGGTGTGATTAGATCTTGTTTGACTCAAAATTTAAAATATGATATGATCAATGAGATTTCGGCTAAGAAGATTTGGGAGATCCTAGAGGACAAGTATTTGACCAAGAGTGTAGAGGACCACTTGCATTTGAAGAGAAGGCTTTATCACTTCCAATTGAAGAAGGGGACATCCATTGGTTATCACATGAACCACTACACGAAGCTTCTTGCGGATTTGACGAATGTAGATGTGATGATTGAAGATGAGGACAAGGCGTTGTTGTTGTTGAGTTCTTTGCCTGACAAGGAATATGAGACCTTCGTTCTTACTCTTATTAATAGGAAGACATCTCTTTCTTATAGTGAGATCACCACTGCACTTATGAATTATCAGCTTTGAAAGAAGGATAATAAGACTTCAATTGAGCCGGTAGCGGAAGCATTGGTCACAAGAGTAAAGAGTCCAAATCATGGTAGGAGGTCGCAGTCTAGAGGGACATATCTTAGAGTTCGTAGGAATCAGTGTGCCTTTTGTAAAGAGGATGACCATTGAAAAACCGAATGCCCAAAGTTGGTTGATCGAACCGAGAAGAATAAGGGGAAAGTTATTCATTCTTCAGAGGTGAATGTTGTTAAGGCTAGTGGTAATAATTCAGATTCGAATTCTTCGGACTACTCATTATCTACACTACCGTCAGTTTGTGTTGCCGACTCTACAGAGTGGATGTTAGATTCGGGTGCTTCTCACCATATTTGCCCTAGAAGGGATTGGTTCTCCAGCTCTCAGGAGTTGTAAAGAGGGAAGGTCGTGCTCATGGGTAATGATCATAAATGTCCTATTGGTGGTATCGGTACCGTTCGGATTAGGATAAGTGACAGAGTGATTCGGGAGTTGGTTGGAGTGAAGTTCGTTCCTCAGTTAAAGAAGAACATCATTTCACTTTGAGTTTTGGAGGCAACAGGCTATAGGGTGACCTTGGTCGATTCACGTTTGAAGGTCACATTGGGGTCCATGATTGTGATGAAGAGCGTTAGGAGGAATAATTTGTATTCTTTGATTAGGAGCACGGTATTTGATAGAGAGCTGACGAGTTCTTTGGATTTGGCTAGACTGTGGTATTTGTTGAGGCTAGGTTATTTGATTGGTTATGTCGTGCATGGTTTGTTGAGGAGTACTTTAACCTGTAGATTGAAGTCCTTTGAGCATATTGATATGAGCAAGAAGAACAAGGTAGAGTTTGGCACTTCTATCCATCGATCGAGGTGTCTTTTAGGCAGTATTCAGTCAGGCATTTGGGGGCCTTTCAAGGAGGCATCATTGGGAGGTAATCGGTATTTGGTTTCCATAGTTGGGGATTATTCTAGGCATTAATGGGTTATAACCAGGTCCCGTTGGTGTAAAATCCTAGAAGTCAATAACAATTAAAGGAAGTGTATTGGCAGAAAGGTAACCCGTCGTTCTAGCTTTGGTAGGGGCTCTTTCTTGTATTTGTGCCGAGCTCATGGCAGTTTGAGATACTTTATTGATGTGAAGACATTAGGACGATGAGATGAGATGACAGTTTTGATTGGTCGTTCCTTACTGGAGGGGGATCGACGTTGGTTATCGAGCATTGGTTTTGCTTTTGGAGCTTCGACATATTTGGGTCATCTTGGTCATAGGTTGCTGACTGCTGCGTTTGGAGTTATTTGATATGGTGGAGCTTCTTTAGATTTTGGGTTACATCGGATATTTGGTTGCCCAGCATTTGATCACATCCAGGATGTGAGATTTGATCCGATTGCACGTTTGGGATTCAGAAATTCGTTTGATTATTACTTAGGAGCTTCTGATTTTGTTCTAAGCAGGTATGTAACATTTGATTCTCGGCAAGTGGAGAGTATTGATCAGATCATTGGGATATCACAGCAGGTGGAGGGTAATGCTACTTCATATTGGGTAGAGATTACTCCACATACTTCAGATCATACTGCATCGTTTGGGATTCTAGCTGAGGTGACACAGTTTGAAGATTATTTAGATTTGGATACAGATGATGAATTGGTTTTGGATTCGAGTGTAGCTAGTGGACATGTTTTGGATACGACCATTGGTTCACCTCAGGTGGAGGTGTTTGATTTGTTTTAGTTTGGGGCCATTGGGAGCGCTATCAGTTGTAGGTCCGTTGGTGATATTGGTGAAGAGTTGTAAACTTTTTTATTTGATTGAGGGTCTTTGGAGACCATTTGGTGAACTACGTGAGGTTTGATTCCTTACGCAAGAGGATATGTAGGAAGTCAGTTATTATGCAGCCGATTTGGTGAGTAGATACCGATGTTTGGAGAGTGGCCACATTCTCGTTTGGGTCTCGACTTGTTGTGGATTGAGTCTGTTGTTGTGATTTTGTTTTACTTCGTACTTGACACAACAAGTGAGACATTTGTTTGGTGTTGGTGTCGGCTCAGTTTTGGGAAAACTTTGCCGAGGTGGAGAATTATTAGATAGCAGGTTCCTAATCTATTTTGGTAACATGTTATTGGGATTCCTAATCTGTTTTGATAATAGGTTATTAGGATTCCTAATCTGTTTTGGTAACATGTTATTAGGATTCCTAATTTGTTTTGATTTTGATTTTAGAATTCCTAGTATGTTTTTAGTTTTAGGATTTCTATATATATAGAACGATTGGAAGAGAGAATCGAAAAGAAAATTAAGGATATTTGGAGCATAGAAAAGAAGTATTTTTTGAGCTATTGGAGGATCTGGAGCTGAAGGCGGTCGACCATGGAGGTCGACCGCACGGACCCTATAGGAGATTTAACTCCCGGGAATTAGTTTGGTCGACCGTCGCTGTCGACTGTAGTTCCTATAATCAATTTATTCTCTATCGGGAGTGTTCGGTCGACTGTCACGGTCGACCGTGATACCTGCACGGTCGACCGTCACGGTCGACCACGTAGCGGGTTTGTAGTTAGGTCAGTTATTTGACCCGGTTCATTTTGGAGCTGATATATATCTCTAATCATGATTAGTTAGGGTTAAGCAAGGATATTTTTGAGCAGTCTTTAGGAGAGTATTGCTGCATCCAATTGTGGGAGATTTGTGAGAGATTTATGAGAGATCTAGAGCTTTGTTTTAGGGTTTTATCGATGAGATTTGTAACTCTATTTGTATTCTCTTGATTTCTAATAGTAAGAACTCCCCCCTCTTTGCCCCGTGAACGTAGGCAACTTGTCGAACCACGTTAAACTCGTTGTCTTGCTGTGGTATTGTATTTGACTTATTAGTTGCGATTTATC